ATAATTTGGGAATTTCACTTATTACTTTTCTGGCCAAGAGTAAGCTGACAAAATCAATAACAGTTTTAGTTCTTTACTCTCTGCACACCCAGAATTGGTTGACTTCATATAAGCTGACAAAAACCTCCAAAAACATTTCTAAAGCTGTTTATCACACTTAATTTTCTTCTTCCTTTTTTTGTAAATCTGCACCAAAAAAATGCAGATCAAATGCTAAGCTAAGCTTAGTATCTACGTGCATTTATATTTAGCATATAGACATGAAAGTCACATCAATTCACTTGTCAAACAAAGCCGAATAAATGTTCCCCCATTACGATGCAGCTCTAAGATCATCTGTTCTTTAGTGATCTTGCAAATCAAACTTTGCTGACAAGAGCAATGATGAACTTCTACAATCAGTCAAATTCCATCTTTATGCTTAAACCTCAGAGGATATTTTATTTGGGGCCCAATTTCCTTCTTCTGTTTTGGCAAAACAATCAATTTCATGACTCAGTGGACTTAATTGCTTTATTGTAATTGTATCATGAAAGACATCCACAGGGAGAGATAACCAACTTCATTTTGTGCACTTCAGTGAAGGAGAACAATCCATACAATTTACACCTGCCATCACCAAATCCAATTTTATTCTGTGAATTTCATGTATGTTATACATTCATTTGACTTTTCTAAACAGTAAAACTCTCAAGATCGCCACTGAGATCAATTCATCCTTTGGACCTGCTGAGACAAGAAAATCTAACACAGCTACAGTACTGAAAGAGATTTTTTTTATATGCTGGTGTTTTATGGTGTTGTTTTTTTGTTTTTAATGTGAACACACCCAAGGCAGATGTAGACAACAAGATGGCTGATGAAAAATATCAGGACTACACAAAGGAATAACTTCAAGGTACATGGAAGAATACAGACTTTTTTATCTTTCAGCACAGAGAAATACCCGCAGTCCTCATAGAAACACTGTGAAAGTGTCAAAGTGAGCTGTTTGCAGCTAGCTGAGGGGCACTGGTGACAGTAAGGAGAAAAGCAGTGCTTCGACACTGCTTCACGCTGCAGCTAGAGTCCAAGAAAACAAGCGGCATTTTTTTGTACCCTAAAAAGACAGGTCAAATGACAGAAATGTGACAGAAATGCAGAATGAAAAACAAAAAACAAAAACATTCAATCTAACTGGATCTCAACCTTAAACCTTGACAGAGAAGTTGTTTTTTTGTACTGCATGCTTATATAATACCATAATCCAAAAGAATCTCAGAAATAAATCTCAAAACTAGATTTTACCCTGTAAGGACAAATAGAAAGTAAAATCTCACTCTACATCATAAATTAGCTACCTGACAAGAGAGACAGACTCTGATGTGCAGAATCACAGATACAATCATGTTAAAGGGAATTGCCTTGTGGTGAAAATAATTGGATCCTTCCTCACCTATTTATGCCCTCAAGGGACCAAACTACACAGAGGAAAAATAACTGAATTTGATAATGACTTGGGGTTTTTTTGCTTCCCATATAAGCCCACATCAGTGAACCATACTGGCAGTGGACTCCTATCAAAATGAACATGACGACCCAAACTGACAAAGGTCAACTATAGTACAGATACCTAGGTAATTGCAATCCGTTTGTTTATCACACTACAACATGGCACAGAATATACATCATCAACTGTTATTTTTGTAGCACATGAACTTGAGTTACAGTTGACTAATTGCTAGATGTGACATGCAAGATACGCAAAATACAATAATTCAGTTGCAAGGTGATTGCACAGGCTGCCTGGTGTCTCCAAACAATTGAAGTCTGACTCACACTGCAATCCCACTCAGTCCAATCAATAAAGGTTTGCAAATAATTCTAAACACAGACAGGTTGCCAGCACGTTGCAAGCATTCTTCGTTGATCGCTGCAACTCAGCTGCAACGCGTGTCTCAACTCAGCTGGTTGCCAACTTGTATTCTGGATATATTCCTGTACATAAGTAAGTCAGGAAGTCAAAATGTCATTTTTGCTGTTAAATTATGACTTACAGTAACTATGTCGCTATTTGTGGAGGAATTTCTGTTTCAAATTATGAGGTTCTGACTGTACTTCAAACTGATATTAGTAGTTTAATTGATTGGCAGTAATTAATGAGAATTTCTGTTCAGTGTGAACATCTATGTTGACAACAACCAACGTATTATTACCAACTTCCCCCCAATCAGTCGCAAACTGATAACAGACTTTACCACCACGTCCATGGACAAAAGTCACTTTGAAGATGGCAACTAACAGCAAGCAGTCAAAGGTCTGGTCCCCATCTTTAAAGCAACCATTTCAAACAAACCATTTCAAAGGTAATGCAGTTCCAAGTTCATTTCACACAGTTGCAATAACTGTGTTTGTGCTGTGGTCTCCAACCACTTGTTTTTGTTTTTCCAGTGGGACGTTAGCATTAGCTTGCTGCAGTGCTTACTAAAATACTTCAAAACATATGATAACACTGCAAAATTTCAGGGGCAGGATGACCAATCGGCTATTACATTAAGACAAAATTTTACTTGCGTTAATATTTCATACACCCAGCATCAAAATAGTTGCAAAATTTCCAAATCACGTTGATCAAATCTCACTGATGTCTAACACAAAGAATCCTCTGATTAGTCTTTTTCCCTGGATGATCTCTGTTTGGTAAGGATCACCATGTAGTCCAGCGACAACTGGAAAAGTCAAACAGTATGAAACTACAGAACCTTCCCATTCTTTATCGAGATTACTGTGCAGCTTTTCAGACAGCACTTGAATTGCTCAGCCCCGAAGGATCCCATGTTTTCTTTTTCTCTCTCAGTCTCTTACTCTCTCTGTCTGTCTCCAAGACACGTGGCTCTCCATGACGGTTGCTACAGGAGACTTTTGGGGGCTCTCAGCTGCCCTGGGTCTCTGAAGCGTAGCATATGAACACTGGAAGATGTGCATGTGTGAGCAAGGAGCTTTCCACGCAGGAGGGATCTGGCCCAAATTTAATCTCTCTATTGTGAGGATGGCGGGTAAGCGAGAGAGAGAGCGAGAGAGAGAGAGAGAGAAGGGCCGTGCCTGCTGAAATCCCACTGGCAGTGCTGCAATGCAGGGGTTTAACAGTGAGCCAGAAGGCAGGCAAACACATTAAAGAATTGGCCTTTGCATGACACACAAGACACACGAATTTACACATAAACATAAGTGTACACAGATGAATGATCGCACGCATGCATGCTTACAAAAGCCAATTTGATATGAGATAGCTGTGCAAATAGAATTTGACAGGCAGGAAATAATGATATTAATATTATAAAATGATGTCACGTTGAGTTTTTAACGTACATTCTCTCTAAGTTCTGTCATTTGCAATTTCTTAAGTATCAGGTCGCATTGGTAATGCAAAGACAGCTAACTGAGATAGAAACTGTTAAAAAGACTGAAATAGTAAATGTTCAGAGCCTTCAGTCTTCAAGTCCATAATTGGAAATAGAAAAAAAGCAATATACATATTTTAAATATTTATAATTATTCATGTGTAGAAAAGTATATACTCTCACAGCCACTTTATTAGGTATACTTTGCTATTACTCGGTTGGACCCCCCTTTTACCTTCAGAACTGCTTCATTATTATTCTTGACATTGATTAAACACA